TTTGGGGAAAAGCAGTGAAAACAAGTGAGAGATTGGAGTTAAAAAAAACAAAAAACAACAACCCAGCCTCAGAACAACAACTTGAAGAATCACACAACAAGGCAAAAACAACCACAAGGGAGGAAAAAAAAGAAAGCGAAGATTGACAGGGCTGCTTCTCTGTCTTGTGCTGATTCATGTTTTCAATCTTAGCACTGGTGGAGAGAGGCCCGGTACACCATCCCAGCCGTGGTGACACAGAAAGTAGGAGGCATCTGAGATAGAGCCCCTGCAGCTGCCTTTCTGGTCAGAAGTACATGGGAAAGGTCCACCAGCCAAACTTGAGCTGGTAGGCAAGGCATTTCAGAAAAGGGCTGCAAAATACGCAGGGAGGGGAAAAAAGATGCATGAGGGGAGGATAAGAATTCAGTCTGTATCTCCAGTGGGCTAAGCTGCTGTTCAGACACTGAACAAATGATTGAGTGAATGACACCAGTTCTTGTGATGGTGAATGGAACTCTACTTGCAAAATGCCAGGTGAAGAGGAAAACAAGAATAAAAATTGAAAAAAAGCACAATAAAGTTGTTTTGCCAAAGCTGATGGAAGTAGGCTTCTCATTAGGATCTCTCTAGATCCTTTCTGTCTAGGACTGAACTTAGAGTTTCAGACAGATGAAGATCTGAGACCCCAGTGTATGGAGGCGCTGACTTCTGCAGTGCTAAGTTTTACTCTCTTGAATCCATTCCTCTTGCGTTAATGCCACTTGCCTAACTTGACAAAGACCACGAGCAGATGTCAAACTTTATTTTTTGACTGTTAACACCTGATTTCCAACATCACAATTTCTCCCTTCATTTCTAGTCCCTTGTGCCTCTCCACCAAGTATGATTTTGAAACTACTGTTGGATTGCTTCAGATCCAGGATGGATTCTGTGTTTCAGTTGTAGAATATTGCTGACTTCTTTGTAACTGTAAGTACGGGTAAAGTTGGGTAACGGTTACCTTAGACAAAGCTGAGGTTCTTTTTGTCTTGTGCTTTGCACTGAAAATGATTCATTACTTGATCTCAGGATCCATACAGAATTGGCTGCTGGAATACTAGATTTTTTTCTGCAACTCTAAGGAATCTGATTCTGCTGATTCAGATTGCTTCCTAACAAAGTCCAGCTATTTTTGGACACAGTGTTAGTCGCTGGTGTCGGTGTGGGATGCTACAGTGGAGGGACAATGCCAATAAAGCCATGTCAGCCGATATTCTCTGCAAAGGACAAGAAATAAATTAATTGGAAGTGAAATGCCCATGTGCTAAAAACGCTAAGGTTTTAGGAAGGTTTTCTAGCAGTGTCATGCAATTTGGAAAGCATAGTATGGGTCAACCATTGCACCATGGCTTCAAGACATAGTTATATTGCAGTGCTATATTTATAGACACAAGGACAATATGTAATAAGGACTGATTCATAGACAGGTTCTTGTACTAATTTTTCTTTCAGGTAGGGCTTGACAGAAAGGAGGAGTGGGGAGGGTTTAATTCCTTAGACCTATGAAACCTCGTCCTGGCTGCCGGCATAACACTACTTCATACTCATGCGGTTGCCTAAACTTAAGATGGCTAATACTTTTAAAAGTTACTTACACAAAAGCCTTTATCCCAGACTATTGGCCTCTCTACTGAGAAGTCGCACAAGGGGGTTATGAAGCTGGTTGAAGTCCTTGGAGTCAGACCTGATCTCAGCAGGCTGTATTGCTGAACAGGAGGAGAGTGAATGGCGGTTACTGCCCACGTTCATTCAAACTCTCAGTTGACGCAGTGTGCCTGAGGTCACCTGGGAGGCTGGTGGCAGAGCTAAGCTCCAGTCTTTCATCACCCTTGGTGGGTTCCTTCCTTCTCCAGTTTCATCCACTGCCTGTCTGTACTGGGCCTCTTCGTCTGCTTCTTTAGCTGCAGAAGAGGAATGATGGTGTTTGGCTATATTTTGTTAAGTCCTTTGCAATGTGATGAGAAAGCATCCTCTGTGTATTCTAGATAAATGTGACTTTATTAGGAAAGTGTAAAGAAAGATTAAATGAAAAAGGTACTCAGGAGGGGCTGTTGAAGTGCCTCTGGTGATCTTTTCTCACACCTCTTACTGTCTCACTGACAAATGCAGGAGTGAGCTGGGAAGCTCAATAAGAAAATGATCTTGACACTGAAGTCTGACTTCAGTTTTCCATCACCTTTAGCTGGTGGATCACCTTGAATTTTTGCTATGTCCGAGTCCTTAAGTATATTTGGAGCTCAGTATTGAAGCTCCCAAGAATTTCAGAAGGTGAACCATAGGAATTAACAAAGCGGTCATTTAAACAATAAATCTCGTGCCTTAGGAGAGCAGTGTCATCCTAAGTACTTGGAGATTTATGTTCAAGGGAATGCTTAAACCTGATTTCAATATGTAAATTGGTAGAAGCTTACTTGCTTTTTCTAACTGTTCTTAAGCAATTCAATGTCTTTGTTTTAAATCCAGTACCCTAAAAGGAATGCACAGATTGTCTTGGGGAGTAAGTAGTACTTGTAATGTAATTTGTTATTGCAAGTACTGTTGGAGTTCTCTCTTCAGCATGAAAAGTTGAAAGTGTGCTACCATTTAAGTCTAGTTCAGCATGACCAGAAAAAGCACTGTGGGGTTATAGAGCTTAGGTCTGCGCTTAGTGAAGTGAAGACATTATGGGATTGTGTAGCTTTGACTAACAGCTGAGAAGCGTTTCAGTAACATCCACATGTGTACAAGCTGTAAGCCAGATTCTCTGCTGTGATGCCAGCCTCTTTGAGCCATCTGACGGTGTAATGGAGCTGAAAAGTAGCATTCTAATATATCCCTATCTTCTGTTCCTCAACCACGGGGTAGTTCCCAGCTGCCACAGTGTTGGCATACCCAACTCTCTCATACCCAAGGCTTAGACCCCAGAACAGGGACGCTGTCTGGACTGAAACTGGGAGCCTGCCAAAAAGGATGTGGTTAGGTGAAGCACATCCGCCACTATATTCCCACAGAGCTGTTCCAAGTACACTGGGACCAGTTCAGTTCAGGAAAGGGAGTCATTAGTAATGTCCTCCAAATGTAAGAGAAGCTGAGGCTGAAAATTTGCTCCTAGCATTTATTCTTCAGCCAAAAGAAAGTTAGATTTAGCCTGTGACCTCAAAAGTTCACTGCTCCTATGAATGTCCTACAAACCACTCGCTGACTTAGACTTACATCCCAACACTGGCTTGATTTATCAACCCTGAACGGATGGGTTACTTCAGCTGGCACGCTGCAAGATGAAGTGTGGGATTTTTTTCATGCTGACAGAGGAATCACGATTTTATTATCTCTGTATGATAATCACCATACTCCGTTCACTATATATCAGGGAATTTCCCCTTTCACAGTGAAGCTGGAAAAAAAAATGAATGCAGACCACTCTGGTTTAAACAAACAAAAAAATTCCTATGAGATACTATAGGAAAAGTTTAAGACTTTCTTTTTGTTTGGTTGTTTTTTTTTCCATTCAGAAATCCAAGTTACTATCATGATTTGCTTTGTGAAATACTGAAGTAGTTACATAAGTATGTTTATTATATATATTTTTTTTACTCAAGTTTACTGACTCCTGGAAAAGCTCCCATAGCCTCACAGAGGTGCATGCCACGATTTTTCATTCTTACTGGTTTTAACTCAACAGTCAAAAGTGAATAAGGCAGTGAGTGAGAGGTGTTAAAGTGGACTGGTTATCTGCGAGGATCTGGTGTATTTTCTGTGTGATGCTCACAGTCTCCCTCCAGGGCATCTGCCGTAGGACATCAAGTTCCTCTCATTTTGTGATATTTGTGGTATTTTTATTCCAAATTTTGATCAGGAGTTCAAACCTTAGTGTGGTTTGTTCACATGGTAACAAGTGACCAAGATAGCACGGTCTGGAAAATTACTCTTTTCAGACAATTTTGTTTATAGCGTTAATCTTTATTTATATTGAAATTTAGCTGAGTTGATGCTTTGCGGCTGAATAATGAGTCTGTGTGCTCCAGAACTTCCCCACTTGCCAAGCAAAACCCCCTTGCAAGTGGTTTAGGCACCTTTCTGCAGGTGGGCCTCCCCTGTGAAGGTGCTGGGGTTCCATGTCCCTCCATGTGCAGTTCCTTGTCCCTGTCTCCCTGCCCTGCTGTATCTGGTATTGGGGCTGCTGCCACGCTCTGCTCCCAGCCAGAATCCGCTTCTGCTCCAGCCTCTCTGTCCCGTGGTTTCCACAGCCACTGTCCATCACCCAGCTTAGTGTTGTACCAAGGCTGAGATAAAGCAACCTGCTTGGTGACATCCAGAAGCAGCTGGATTGTGCTGTAAAGCCCTCTTTTATCTGTTGGTTCTGCAGCTCTTCCTGCACAGAGCTGGCAGGGATTTAAGGAGGCTTATTTGTCTGCTCCCTGTCCTAAAGCCTGCTGATTATGTATTTGTACACTTAAAAGAAACTACTGCCTTTAATCCAGTTTTGAGCACCACAAGTTCAAAAAGGTGTATTTTTATCGTGTTTGCAACGTAAGGACTGGTACATTCTTACCTGAATAGGGAGAAGTGTTGAGTTCAGTGAGTTGGGCTAGGCTAAGTCTGGAGCTTACTGTTGCACCAGGAAAAATATCCTTGACTTGACTGCATACAGGTAAAGCATGGATATATAGAGAGAGCTCTAAGCAGCACCTACTTGCCATTTTTCATTAAATATGTGTGCTTTTTTTTTTTTTTTAAGCCCTGTTCTATTGCAAAGTGGAGGTTCAGATCTGTGGTGATTATGCCCTGTGGTTAAGGCAAATGTCTGGACAAATGAAGAAACATGTATGGGTGGGTTAAATAGCTGTTAGGAGCATAAACGCCTGGCCAGTGGTGCAGAAATTTCCTCCAGATGCTTCTGTTTTCCTCCCACCTGATCCCCCTTTGTTTTAATTCTCTGTTACTTACAGTGGTCTCCACTGAAGGAGTTAAGTGTCTCAGGGAACTGCCTCCTTTTTACAATGAGGATAGCAGACTTTGACAATTATCTGAAAATCCGAAGGCTGTCCGGTGAGTTATACGGGTTAAGGCACTTGGAAGCAAGCTCATCAGAAAGTGTACAGCAGCGCTAATAAATAGTGGGATGAACCTGAGGCATTTCACGGGAGAAGAATAACAGGTAATTATCACTTGAGAGATTTTATGGTCTCTCTGTTATTTGGACTTAATTAACTGAGAGGGGCAAAATCTTGCAGCCTGATAAGGTGAATCAGAGTCCGTGCTCTCTGCGCAGGAAAGCTGCTCGGTCGAATGAAGGTTGTAAAAATTCATACATACAGATAGAATAAAAAGGGAAAGACAAGAAATTGAAGCATCACTTTGCAAGATCTGGCTTATTGATACCTGCTTTTGCTGGTTTTGATTTTTAACTGGGCTGAGTGAATACAATGTTGTTCTTGGCTTTGTATTGCTGTAGTTAAATCATTATAACGGTTTGAAACCGTTGTTGGTAGTAAGAAAAACTGTGAACTGTTTTACACCTATAAGTATGTTAACATTTCTGCGTTACCCAGACCTGGAATTTCTCCGCAAGGTGTCAGAGCGCTGGGTGAGGGCAGGTTTCTTCCCCAAGGAGCAGCTCGAGGTTGGCTTTGCAGCTCGGCATCCTCGGGGGAGCGGCGGGGGGGGGGCCGC